GGCCATCGAGGGCCGAAGAAAGCTCAGCTAGGATTGTCTGTTTTGTTGAAAGGCTTTGGATCATGATCGACATACGGGCGTGAATAATCAGAAATAGTATTACTCGTATCCCTTGTAGTCACTTGTAGTCCCTATATATCTATATATACATACATACTTACACATACATAAATGTATATACATACATACGTATAGTATAACATACATCAAAACCCTGTCGAAATAATTATGACACCTATATTACTTGAACTCTCAGAATGATGAGTCAATGGCGAGGATGGTGATGATGATGATGTTGATGATGATAACGACGAGGGACACATGGGATCAGTACTGGTCGTATGCCCTCCTCATACACTGCTCAATGCGCATCGCCGCATGCTGCCATGCCCTGGGTGGGCAACAAGCCTCTTGTTGGCACATCCTATCCCCAATGGCTTGTGGAAGACCCCTACATGTACCGTGGCTGCGCAGTTTACACAGTTTGTGGCTTCCGAATCTGGTTTTTAGCAGGTGAGGCGCCCGCTGACCTTCCTCTTGCGCCGGCGATACAGCACCGCGGTGCCATCGCCGCTTATACTTAGTTTCTGGTTGTGCAATGGGGCAGCACGCATGAGGTGCCGGGCACGATATCGAGTCTGTCAATCAGCCTCGCAACCTGTTTCACCGAGACGCTGCGATCCGAGAGAGATGACAGCGACGACGACGATGGTCATTGTGTCTGTTGCTTCTGAATCGTAGCGTTCATTGATTCCACCTCTTCCCAGTCGGACGGAGCGCCTCTGCTAGAAATCTGGACAGCAGATCCAGAAAGGCCTTCTCATGAAGAACCTGCACGGAGAAGATGGTCAGGAACACTGAACTGCTCGTATTTGGCTTGCCAGACATCGGTGCTGACACAACTGCTAGTGTAAACGATTACGGCTTTTCCGCAACTTATTGCGGAGAGACGTACCATCCTAAATCTGCACAGCACCGCAACAGCTTTGCAAAACTCTCGGCCGAAGCCTGTCTCACAATCTGCCACCTCCGCTGTTGGCATGTAGGAGAAGTCCCTGCCGCCTGCATTCATACTCCCAAAGTCTAAGCTCATCTAAAGCAGGGTGGGACTTGCAAACGCTGATCCTGACACACCTTGTCCATCCTGACTGAAACGCCCAAGCCTTGAGAGTGTGCAGAGTCCTTCCTGCTGTGAAGTGCCGGGAGATGACTCAGTGGGCTTCCCCCCAAACATCCGCAAACGTAAGAAGAATCACTGAGAAAAGCGCACCATCTCCCCCTCATTATCGACCGCATCGGCATCAACAGCACTAGCAGCTTCCTCACTGTTGTCAATCTCAAGGCTATGCTTCTAACCCGTCCCTTCTTTCATAGTCGCCCTCTACCGTCGCATTCCTCATCTTCCCCCGCAAGCAGCAGCACCACGATCACAGCCGCCAGCACCGCACCGGCACCCACCGGCAGCAGCAGCAGCAGCAGCAGCAGGAAAAGCAGCACCACCACCACCACCATCACCACCACCAAGCTGATAACAACAATGCCACTGCTGCTGCTGCAGTGGTTGGTATCTGCACCGAGAGATATTTGGAATCCATAGCCCATGCGGGATGTCAACCACCAGTAGGAAAGCCTCTCCGAGGAGGCGCCGCGACACGAAGCGTGCCGCATCCGGCCGGCGCTCACCCTGCACAACTGGGTTCTTGTTAAGGGATTTAATTTAAGTTACCATGATAGGGATCTACAGTAAATAATATGGTTTCCTTATTATGGTAACTTAAATTAAATCCCTTAACAAGAACCCAGAAAAAAGGTGCGATGGAGGCGTCAAGGCTTGGAGGGCTTAGCGTCTGTTTGCTTAGCGGATTGCAGCTCCGAAGACGCTGACTACCCACATGCGAAGCTTCGGGTGCATTTCGTCAAGGAGCGGGGTCAAGTTTCCTCGTCGATGACCTCTGAATAGCTTTGCTTCAGAAAACAACATGGGACTGTCAAGTGAGTTCTTGCAGCTGCATCAAGACATATCAAGACGCTCATGCATGCGAAGTCGTCGCAACACCGAACTGTGCATGGAAATCTGCACCCGGCCTTTTCCAATGGAACTGCGAAGTTTAGGAATACGATTTTGCATTGCGACGAGGAAGAACTAATCTTATGTTTCCGGACCATTATTCAGATTGGGCTCCTCTCCTGAATCATGAATGATGTTCCCCATGTGGGATGTACTACAGAAGGCTTAGAAGCGAAACACTTGCAGCACGCCAAAGCCCAGGTCGAGATCAGCGCGCGGGATTTATCGTAAATACCAAAGAAGCCGCCTCCAAACAGACACAATCCACGGCAACCTGTAATCATTCTCAGCCCAAGCTAAACCGCAGCCCTGGTCGCCTCTGTCTCCGCAAAGCCCAGGCCCCGGCCCCGGCGCAGGGGCGCCGCGAGTGGCGCAGAAGAGGCCTTGGCCTGCAGAGGCTTTCGGGATTCGACTCCGGGGCTACAATAAAACATAAGCTATAGTATTAGTAATCCCCAAAGAGTTGGAAACCGGATTAAGGACAAACAGGGGCTACAAAGTAGAATCTAAACAAGGGCCTCCTCTAGACTAGCTATAGTGTTCGGAGACATTTGGGGTTCCCTTAGATAAGCTAGGGCTAGGGAGAAGCGTTTGGGACGTAGGATTTGGCGAGTGGGGCCTAGGAGAGAGTAGGGCTGAGGGCAGTGCAGAAACGAAGACGCGTATGTTGAGTCTGTCGTCTTTTAGACCAGCGCTTCATTTCAAGCGCGGAGCACCCAGACGCAAAGGGACGTCAAGCTGTGGCACACGGTATGCCTGGGATGAAAACGTTGCCCGGTTCTGATAGACTCTGCTCCTCAGGCTCAGGGACCTTCACAATCCATCAAGAACGGAACCAATGGATCTGAAGTCCTCTCCAAGGAAGAATGACCGGCCGTCAGACTTCCTTGGAGAGGACTTCAAGTGGTAGGTGTACACATGCTGATGAAAGAACACACTCAACGCCAGGATGTCTTCGCGACAGCTGTTGAAGAAGCTTTCGTGGCAGCTGCGCTCTCAGAAAAGACGCTCGCCGCAACTGACAACTGCTCCAGCTCAAAACCTCGTGCCCTCTTCATGATTCAACTTCTGTTCCTCGTGCCGGTGGGCAGCTTCATTCGAGGGAGGAATCGACCTTCGTGCAGACACCTCGCACGGAGCCGAAGCTCCGTACAGAGCGTGTGCACGACGGCCAATGCCTGCCTCAAAGCCATCTCACCGGCAGTCACAAGCACAACGCGGCATTCTCTCGCACGTTCTGCTAACCCTATGCCATATACCATATCTCCCTCCCGTCGTTTTCGACGGAAGTCCTCCCTCTCCTGATGAAGCCCCCGCCTGGCTCCGCAGCCCCCTTACATCTATGCCAACAGCACCAACAGTATGGAAGTGGCACTACTCAATAGCTCAGGAAGAATCTCTACACCCCTTCGACCGGTTGTGAGGCGGGAACACTGCCGTAGCGCCAGTGATCTCTGAAGTTCCTTACGCTCTCGGGGCGACGGGGCGACGAAACTGGCAATGAGAACCCTCAGACCCTGAATCAATCCCGTATATAGTAGTACGCCGTTTAAACCCAAACCCGACACCCTAAACCCGAAACTCTAGGCCCTAACCCTAAACCCTAAACCCAAACCCTGCAACTCGAAAACCGTGAAGCCCAGGGCTCCGAAAGCCGCCTTGGAGTCTGCCTTGCCCAGGAAGAACCGCGCCAAGCCCCCAAGGCAGCCCAGCGAGGTACCCAGAAGAGTGCCCTTCCTTTCGGGGGACGCTACCCTACTCTACTATAGTACAGTAGGGTACTCTACTCTGCCATTTAATGGCATGGTAGAGAGCTTGAGCATAATAGCATGTGCGGCTCAAGTATGTTGGGATCTTCACCCTCCAGAGTAGAGTAGAGTACCCTACGACACTAGAGTAGAGTAGAGTGTGAACCTCAGCCAATTGAGTCTCTTTTCCAGGCGCTCCCGGCATCCGAGATCCCCGACTCTGAACTCCAAACCCTCGTCCGTGGCAATTCTATGAAATTAACCGGGCTAGATTATGAAGTAGATTGTGAGAGACACTGAAGGTCTGCATCCATCGTGGCTGAAGAGGATTCCGCACTGGCAAACAGAAGACCGAGAAAGGCAAGATTGGAAAGGCGAGTCGCCCAGCCGCCAGCGTCAAGGCGGTCACATTGGCCATGGCGCATCATGAACACCCAGGAAGCACAATCGTGCGTGTGCTTGTATGCAAACATTCCCTTGATCTCCACAGCTACAACTCTTGTTTGACTGTATCGTGGCCACGCAGCGACCTTAGTTCATCCCAACAGGATCGGCACCCAACTTCAGCATGACATGATGTACGTATGCACTGGACCAGGCAGCTGGGGTATCATGAAGCTACAGGTAGTGCAAAGAGCCTTGTCAAAAAGCTCCCAGGGCACATGCCACCACATGGTTTCGAAATCTCTTCGTGCCACATGGCTTTGCGGCGATCATGAAGATGCCATCGCAGCAACCAGAGACATCGACCATGCGTCGTTGTCGAGCACGGCATGCATCTTTCCGCCAACCATGAAACGAACAAGCCTTTTCTGACTGAAGACGCGGCTCGTTCGCACTTGCGGTCCTTGCACTGCTTTTCAGCGCAAGCCTCGGTGCCTCAGAGCAGAGGGAAAGTAAACCGGAGGTCGCTTGGGAGACAGTCCTGTCTGTGTGCATGAATATATATATATATATACATATACACAAGCACGCTTGCATATGCAGATATGCATCATACCTATATGCACGTACACACATAAGGTGCGTGCGTGTGGGTGTGGGTGGGTGTGCGTGTGCGTGCACTGCTGGCTCTGTTTTTCGGATAACATCACCTGAACTTGCAGACTAGAAAACCATCCGTGTTGTCCACCATCCCACCATCCCCGCTAGACCTCCGAGGCATCCTTTTGGGACCGGGGAGCTGCCCGTAGTTTGGCGAACTCCAGCTGTTTGATGCAGATGCCATCGGGCCTCACAGTAAGCATGGACGGGATGCCCAGAGGGCTCTCTGTCGAATAGTCGCAACCTGACATGTCAGTCGCGACAGCTGTCTGGCCTGATCGAGGCCGACAGCATTTCGTCGAGCACGCGCTGCGCTCCGGCTGAGTCCTTCTGCCTTCCATCTGTCTCGCATCTGAACCATCCGTACTTTAGCCTCCTTAAACTCGACACAGCCTGGATCCAGCCCAGGACCAAACATGCAGCGAAAGAAGTCGCTCACGAGCTTTGCAGCTTCGCAGCCTGGAGTATGCAGAGATGAGAGCTGTGCCGCTTGCGAGCGTGGGCCTCGGCTACACAACTTCCGCTGAGACGGCGCAACTATGCTGTGCCCGGACGTTTTGCCGCGCTTCAAGGCCGGGTGGCTTTCCCTGCAATCGGAAGAGCTCCAGGGCACGCTGCAGCTGCTGAGCCTGCCATCTCGGATCTCCCTCCGCGCCCTCACAACGTAGCATTTCTGTATCAGCCAACGACACGATCTTCCATAAATATTCCGGCGCCACTGTCTGTTCAGGCTGGCCGCATCGTCCCATGCTACCGCAAGGAAGGCTGTCTCGGACTAAATTCTTTCAGACGCGTCAAAAGCTTGCCGCTCCGCCTTAGCCTGCGCCGATATGAGGGTGGCATAGGTCGCCGAATTCGGCTGCAGACCTGAGCAGGTGGCCCTGGGGCTTTTCAGGCTACAGCTTTGCATCTTCACAGCAGGCCATCATTGCGTCAGAGTCCCTGGCTGTGCTTTTGAATCTGCACCAGCACTTCATCGGCACCCCGTGCATCCCTTGCCTGTCAGAGCACACTCACCGGCATCATTTGCAGCTTCTGAAAAAGAAGCCGCAGCAACGCAGACGCCGTTGTCCGAACCGAAGCGAGCGCTCACATGGTGCTCTGCCTGGCCTTTGCGTAGGCTTTCATCAAGGCAGTGTACGAAGCCAAGTTGGGCCTCGACCTCGGCCCGGCACCGCGCCGGCACCGCATACTTTCGCCACTGTTGGTGCAAGCTTAGGCCAGCTGTGGGGCTGCGACTGCTTGCTGAGCAACTCGAAAGCATCCTTTGCACCGCGGACATCGCCCGACCTTGCTTCAGAATTCCACACTTCAGCGCAGCAGCCTCCTTTCTCAAGATGCAGGAACCGTGCTTGTGCTCCTAGTATGGGACACCCACAACCTGGGGCAAAGGCATGGCATAGGCATTGATGAGCAGTGTGAAGCCCACCTCTTGGTCAGAATGTTTAATAAAGAGACATCAGAAAGCAGCACCGATGACAGGAAGGCCGGAAACTGCATCTTTTATGTCCATGCCCCCGAAACGCAAAATTTCACAACCAGAGCCTAGAAAGCCGGCCTCGCGGCTTCAGGTCCCCTCTAATATCTTTCTACAGCAAGAAGAAGAGGAACAGGCGTCAGGAAGTTCTGCTCTGTCCCCTCCCCTCCATGCGATGCCCCGTTCCCACCCCTCCTTGCCTCGTTTAGCCTTCCCTCCGCGGCGAGGCGCTGGGCACCGGCCTGGTCGCCGGCCGCGATGCGCGCGCCTCGCCCGGCGGCACCAGTTGTCGGGAAGGGCAGGGGCCAAACCTTCTTCGGATCTCGGCGAACTCTGAGCTCGAAGCGGAGCAGGGCAGTGTAGGTTACCTGGCATGCCATCAAAAGTGTCCAGAAGTCTGGTGGAGATGGTCAGGCAGTAGCTTCAGGTCTTCGTCCCTCAGTGTCTTATTGACAGCTGCCTGCCGTAGCTTGCATGGCCTGAAAAGTCTCTCAAAGTTCCAAGCGACATCCAACATGGCTCCCGACCTCGTTGGGCTCTAGCCTTGCAGATCTCATCGCTTCGAAGGCCTGAAGATTGCGCTGCAGTGAATTGCGTGCATTCTTAGAGTCTTTCAAGCTTTCATTGAGTCAGGTAGATCAAGTTTGACAATCAAGTTCAACCGTAAGTGCCCTAGACTATTTTGGAGCCTTGCGTCCCATGAGTTGTAAGGGCTAAGATTCTTGGCTGGGTGGGACGGACTCGAAGGAGTTGCTGACCTACTCATCCCGGTCCGCGTGAAGATCGTAAGTTGCCCGGCTCTCTTTATCCCACGGGCCCCTCTGCAACTGCAACCCTTTCTTTTCGATCATCGAAGAGCGTGCTGCATGAGTTGGTCTCCGCTGCCATCTTCTTGTGGCTCTGCTCCCAACATGCTCCCGGTGACCTCATCCTCTCTTGTTCAGAGTAGCTCTGGCCAGGCCTTTGCAGGGCCGACGTACGAGACGAGTCTTCGATGCGGGAAGCAAGATCCTTCTTCCGGCACTCGGAGTACAGGGCTGTCACCTCTACCATGAAACGCGTAGAACCCGTAAAGCTGGCTGTCATGCCAGAAGCCAGAGAGGATGAGACTCGCCCGCATCACTTGGGGTGTCGCATTTTGCGTTCAGCTGCGGCTTCGGAGGTCCAAGGGCTCAAGAAGGCACGCAAGGAGGGCCTGGCCCTCTCTAAGGGCCGAACCACCTCAAATAAACGGAACATACCAGAAACACATACCAAACAGCTCAGACAGCTTAGACAGCTTAGAGTTTAGAGCTCATCTCCCACTTGTAACCTGTTGCAAGAGTTGACAGCCTGGCACCTTCGCCCCAGGCTAGCTAAGGACAAATCGTTGCAAGCCTTCGAAAACACAGTCCAAAGAAAGAAACGACGGTACTTGTAAGACAAGAGATGTTGGTCAATGGCTTACGGCTCAATTGCACTGTCTTCTGCGAACTGTGTTTGAAGCCTTGGTGAAACTTGCACCTGTCCGGTCCGAAATTCTCTTGCGCTTGCGGCGGAATTAGAAACTGTCTGGAGCTGCAGTGGCCGCTTCTCGGCTATGGAGATCTGACCAAAAAAAATCCTTCGGACGTCGGAGTTGGTGCTCAACCTTGAAACGTCCTCAGATCGGACTCTAGAGCACCATCCTATGTGGCTCGGTGCAGGTGTCTTCCTCCGGTGCGTCTGGACCTTCGCAGCCGCTTCCAGGACAGTTCTCTTCCTCTCTTCTTAAGATACGGCCGCACGACCCCAAAAAACACCCGTGTGGAAGCCGACACATCTGCATCTGCTGTGCACCAGTCTAGGCAAATCATCTCCGAAGGCATGGGCACAAGCAACTCTGAATTGTGAACAAGCCGCCGCAGTCGACGCGCACCAGCACGGAATCGGCCTGGGAGAAAAGCTGGGAAAGCTGCACTTCCACGTAGCTTTGAAGGGATTTCGGGGAACCTGGCAGAGCCCACAGAGTCCAGTCAACTGAGGCCCAAAGCCTCATAGTCTGGAGGCCGTACCGGTCCCTCCTGGGGCAGCTGATCTGCACCTGAAAACTGTGCCGCTTCATGCAGGTCGGGTATCCCATAACGACTTAGTCCAGCTAGCTCTTCCAACTGAAACAAACTGCGAGGGTACGACACGACAGATGCTGTCGACATGTCATGATGATGCTTCATGATCCCAGCATACTCTTCGTACGCTCACTTGTAGATGCCTCACACACTTGTCCAGCTTAGCTCCCTGCGTTGAGCAAACGCGAAGGTCAGCCTGCACGAGGCTAGCGGGAACAGCAGCCTGACTACTTCAAACTCGAACTCCTAAGCCACCACCACCTCCACCACCACCACCACCACCATGACGACGACGACGACTACTACCGCTACGGTGACGACGACTACTTCAACAATCGGCGCACTCTGACCCCCG